GTTAGGGGTTGGGGTTGGGGGATACTTTGCGAGAGAGGCCATTCGTCGATGGTGGGAGTCTGCGATTGACAGCGGCAGCAGGACGAAGAGTGTGGCCGCAGTTCTATAGCCTAGAGCCTCGCTATCGTTCAAACGTAAGTTACGTAAACGCAAGCGGTACAATGCTCCTGACAGCTCGATCGATGGAAGTAATTTAATGCGTACCTCGTGGCAGCCCAAGCAGTGTAGTAGGTACATTTGTACAGAACGAAGGACATCCCTAAGGATTATCGCATACCTCTGAATACTTATCATCAGGGTAACACATTTGCTTTCATGTGATACTGTTAACTTCATACTATTTGTGATCACATTTCATCAGTTTTTGGATATTCTTACATTTGGATTTCAATCTGATACACTTATTTAATATATTATGACACAATTGTTCGATTGATCTTAATATTTTTAAGTCACGTGTTTTGTTATAATTCTTTCTTGATTTTATTTTATTTCTTATGCAATGTTTATTAATAATAAGAGTTTATTATTATTTATATTTTTACATTTGAATTTCAATTTGATACACTTACCTAATATATTATGACAATTGTTCGATTGATCATATATTTTTTAGTCACGTGTTTTGTTATAATCCTTTCTTGATCTTATTTTAGTTCTTTTGCAATGTTTATTAATAATAGGAGTTTATTATTATTTATATTTTTACATTTGAATTTCAATCTGATACACTTACCTAATATATTATGACAATTGTTCGATTGATCATATATTTTTTAGTCACGTGTTTTGTTATAATCCTTTTATGATCTTATTTTATTTCTTATGCAATGTTTGTTAACAGTAGGAGTTTATTATTATTCAATTAATTCTGATAAAATTAGTATATTGAATTATAAACGATAGAAATTATTTGATATATATATATTCTAAATTATTATCATCTATTATATAGTGGGGTTAGAATGTATATTATATTATAATGTAGTATAAACAGATGATTCGAGGAGTAATAACGTTGGGAAAGTTTTGTCTTATCGTAAGATACGGACGTTAACGTGAGAAATTGTTCGAATAAACGTAGGAGAACGTTATTTGATTTCAATGTGAGGATATATATTATATAACGTTTATTATATTTTTTATTTAGCGGAAAATTGAATGTCATCTCGAATTCAACATTGTGAAACTGAAAAATGTCGAGGATATCGAGGGTTACCATTATTTGTCATTTTTTCTATTCCTCTCTACCCCTCTTTCCCATAAATATTTATTTCGTATGAAAAATAGTTTGTTTTTTATTTAACAACAACAAAATTAATCTCACATTAAACGTATGCTCGTACAAAACGAATAATAATCAAAAATCAAATGATATTAAACGGAGAATAAATTTTCTCAAATATAATCTGATTAACTTGTATAGTATTATTATTAAATAATAATAATATTGTTGTTTTTTTTTTTGTTGAAGATTGTTACCGATCTCTTAACGTAAACGTATTGTTCATTTTTTTGTTTTGTTTTCTTTATTTGTCGATAATCGATGAATTATACATACGATCGATGAAAGGATCGTCTCGTTTATAGGATGTAAACAAATCGATTGGCGTTCTTATAATCGGTCAGGTATGTAATCCAGTTCCGGATAGCGCACTTTGAAAAGCCAATAACTCGTAATTAGATTATACCGATGGCTGGTATTAACACACAGGTATTGTTATAATGGCATTATAAGAGGTAGCTAGCTAGCTAGCTAGCCGTTGCGTTAATAGCTGGCTACGTTCGACATTTACTGTATATATATATATATATATATATATATATATATATATTTCCTATGGAAAAATCGAATTGCCATTAAAGTTTAATGGAATGGATAATTAATCGACGAAAGATGTAAAATAATAATGCATCCAGTTATAAGGGTTTGGTGGGAGGGAGGGAGGGTGGGGTGGGGGATGGGGCTGGTTATAAGAACATAATTTTTTTTCCCCTCCCCCCCGGTTACGTTAATTCGTTCCAGTATTTTTTTTTGTTTTTTGATGGGTTGAAGTTCCGATTGGTTTATTTAAACCCAACAACCTATTTAAGGTATTGGCTTCGTTAAATCGATCGTCCGATCGTAAATTATTTGAGGAGTTAACGAAGTTTATGAGTGTAACCTCCTGTCGTTGGAAAATTCAAGGGTTGCTTGCCCTAAGGGCCCACAACCAGGTTGGTGGTTGATCCTGTTGCAACGGTAACAGTAACGACAACCTAACGGCACCCATTGGTAACACCAACAGCAACAGCAACAAACGAGATGCAACACGGAAATCGTTTTGTTGATCCGCGACTACTTGTCGGATGATACACAACCAACATTCACACTAACCTTTAAACGTTGTCGTAGATCAGGCTTTCTCATTGGCCGATTAGCCTTCGGGGGTGATTATATGATGCCGTCCGATATCGGTGTCATCGGCTCACCGATTATCCGCCAAACGAAAATTCGATTTCCTCTGGGGCTACTTCGTCCCCATTTTCCTATAACCCCCTACACACCTACACCCACACCCACACCTTTCCACTTCTTTATTTCTTTTCCTTGTTCTCCCTTCACAACCACCCCCCTTCCCCTAATCGTGACACCTTTCATTTGTTTTTTATTTCTAAGATATATCATACGTTTGGAAATTATCAAATAAAACGATATATTTCATTATATATGTTTCTTCTTCTTTTATAGGTATTTAAATTGTCCCTTATTTTTAAGTTAAATGTAAATAATATAAATGAAATATTTTAAAAGCATAGAGTACGCGAGCCTGTTGGTAATAAAATTGAAATATTATTCGTAATGTAAAAGGTTTGAAATACTCGTAATGGTGGTGGGTGGTGATGATGGTGGTGGTAGGATAAAGTAGGGATATAATATGTGTGTATGTGTTACGAGATATGTGAGAAAATTACAATTGCAAGTAATCCTCGATCGCGAAAGCAAACGAGAAAGAGAGAAAGAGAGGAATTGATAGATAGAAGATAGAGAGAGTTGATGCATGATATGTAGCAATATATGTATTATATATATACATATACATATATATATATGGTATAGCTCTCTTCGGGGTTTGACCATGAGAAAGAGAGTAGTAGTCCCCCGGTATAGAACGAATTTGCCGAATTTCCATATAAATTTGCTGGCCGTGCGCGACACAGAAACTTCGACTGGAAACAACCAACCACCATATACACACACACATACTCTATTTCTATCCCACCATAGACGAGATATAATATGGTAGAATGTTACTTTTATTTGCCACCGAGAACAATATTCAACAATCTGCTTGCTTGCTTGCTTCGATAGATTCTCATACTTGTTTCTATTATTTGTTTTTATTGTTTAGTTATGTATCTCTCTCTCTCTCTCTCTCTCTCGTACGTATATATATATTAGTTGGAAAAATTTGTGAGGAAATTTGATTAATTAAATCGAGACTTCATTAATTTTGTTTATTTTCAAACAATCGAGACACGTGTTT